TGGCCGACAAAAACAAATAGGAAGCCAACTTCTGCTGGTGATCCGAGAGGCCCGGTATGGGACAATGAAGCAAAGCGCACCGAGCATCCGAGCGTATGGAGAGATGGAACGAGGTGAGAAGGAGGCCAAACACACCAGACCAAAAACCAATCAGCCTCGGGCATGACCACCAGATATGCAATACATCACCATGATGGCCACAACCCCCGAAAGCATCGATCACTGCAGGCCGGTTTCTCCTGGGCCAAACGAGCCGGAACCCAATACCAACGAAACAGTACCTTGTATGCCGCCTCCAGCGCGGTCGTATTAAATGAACGCCTGGTTTCCATTTTATATGAGTTTTCCTAGATGGCAACATTTCAGGAGCCTTGATGGACGTTTTCATGAATGGTGTCTCCCAGTCTTCATCTTGAAAAGAGATCTGTAGGTCCTTCTCCCATGCCAGGCAACTTGGATCCGGGGAAGGATCCTCTAACAGTAGAGTAGAAATATAGGAGATTAAGTGCCGTTGTGGCGGTTTCCGTGGGGCGAGTGGTCTCGACCACAATGTTGTTGGGGTATGGGATGCAAAGAAGTGTCGATATGTCCAAAATGGGAATGATTTAGTGAGTGAAAGTGACACTACGTTTTCGTATGATTGGGGATTACCCTTCGAGAAGAAGTGATGTGCAAGAACATCACTGCGAGGCCATTCCTGGCGCAAAGAAAGCTCCCGATTCTACTGGGGGAAAATCAAGGTTTCCCCTTATCATGGTCAAAGGGCCTGGAGTTTGAAGAAAAAACTGCCGATTCTCCTGGAGGAAACTCAAGCGTTTCCCCTCATCATGGTCAAAGGGCTTGCAGTTGAAGAAAAAGCTCCCGATTCTCCTGGGGAAAATCAAGGTTTCCCCTTATCATGGTCAAAGGGACTTGAGTTGAAGAAAAAGTTCCCGATTCTCCTGGGGCAAAATCAAGGTTTCCCCTTATCATGGTCAAAGGGCCTGGAGTTGAAGTAAAAGCTCCCGATTCTCCTGGGGGAAAATCAGGGTTCCCCCTTATCATGGTCAAAGGTACTTGAGTTGCAGAAAAAAAACTGCGATTCTCCTGGGGGAGAATCAGGGTTTCCCCTTATCATGGTCAAAGGGAGTTGAGTTGAAGAAAAAGCTCCCGATTCTCCTGGGGGAAAATCAAGGTTTCCCATTATCACGGTCAAAATGGCCTGGAGTTGAAGAAAAAGCTCCCGATTCTCCTGGGGGAAAATCAAGGTTCCCCCTTGTCACAGTCAAAGGGACTTGAGTTGAAGAAAAAACTGCCGATTCTCCTGGGGGAAAATCAGGGTTTCCCCTTATCATGGTCAAAGGGCCTGGAGTTGAAGAAAAAGCTCCCGATTCTCCTGGGGGAAAATCAAGGTTTCCCCTTATCACGGTCAAAGGGCCTGGAGTTGAAGAAAAAGCTTCCGATTCTCCTGGGGAAAATCAAGGTTTCCCCTTATCACGGTCAAAGGGCCTGGAGTTGAAGAAAAAGCTTCCGATTCTCCTGGGGAAAATCAAGGTTTCCCCTTATCACGGTCAAAGGGCCTGGAGTTGAAGAAAAAGCTCCCGATTCTCCTGGGGGAAAATCAGGGTTTCCCTTATCATGGTCAAAGGGCTTGGAGTTGAAGAAAAAGCTCCCGATTCTCCTAGGGGAAAATCAAACGTTTCCCCTTATCATGGTCAGAAGTCTTGGAGTTGAAGAAAAAGCTCCCGATTCTCCTAGGGGAAAAATCAACGTTTCCCCTTATCATGGTCAGAGGTCTTGAGTTGAAGAAAAAGCTCCCGATTCTCCTGGGGGAAATTAAGGTTTCCCCTTATCACAATCAAAGGGCCTGAAGTTGAAGAAAAAGCTGCCGATTCCCTGGGGCAAAATCAAGGTTTCCCCTTATCATTGGTCAAAGCGCCTGAATTTGAAGAAAAAGTTCCCGATTTTAGCACCTGCTTGAAGGAAACTAGGGAGGCTTGAAGAAGGGGATGCATCTTAGCCACTCGTGGCCACTGTTGAGTGGTCAATCAAGGGAGTGAGTTTAGTGAGGTGTGAGCAAGTCATTTTTCTAAGGAGACCCCAATTTTTCTGGTTGCATGGGTATTTCCAGTCAGCTTTCCTTGTGAGGTGGCAGGCCATGATTCTTGTGGAGGTCTGGGAGGGCCAATCCCCTCTTTGAGTTTTTCACGTGTGACACGAGAGTACGTAATGTGGGGTGGAGAACTTTTCCAGGTAAACAATAAGCAAGCTTTCTTGTAGGAAGCTAAAAAAGATGTAGGTTAGAAGGACTGGAATAGTCTGCATTAGATAGAGGAGACGTGGGCGAGGATGGTCATTTTAACGTCCAACCCACGAGACGTCCAGTCATGCCCAAATCTTCAGATCTGCTTGAATTTTTATGTAGAGCTACATGGAAATTTTCGGGCATATAATTCCGATAGTTTGAGAGGAATTCCTCATCAATCTTGGAGAAAAATGCTGCTCCAAACTCCCAGCAGTCAGTGCTGCTTGCATAACCCAAAGCCAAGACCACGGGTGTCAAACTGTGTGGCCCTCCAAACTACAAGTCCTATGAGGCATTGCAAGATTGACAGTTACAAGCATGACTCCCAAAGGCAGAGGCATGTGGTGGGACTTGTAGTTTCGCAACAGCTGGAGGGCCACCAGTTTGATACCTCTTCTCTAGGTTTTTGCGTCCTCCTGTTTGTTCTTTTCGTAGTCTTTACAAGCCTTCCCCATCTGAGGAGGGCAGAATCAACTACACATTTCTGCCGATGTTCATGGTCCACCAGACATCATTTGTGGTCCTCTCTTTTTGGTGGATCTCTGAGCGCTGAAAACCGTATTCACACCAAGTGTCAGGGTCCTGTCCACCGGCAGAAGTTCTGGAAGATCTGGCATTTCTGACAGCATTCTACATGCCGCCGCAAGTACACATCAGCCTCAGTCTGGTGCCAGACGGCCTTTATAAGGAGGCTCATCACTTCCTTAAGTTGCTGGATGATCTCTAGCTCCCCGTGCCCTTTCTGGTTCCTGTGACTTTGACCTGTGATATCCTGTTACCGACTCGGCTTGCTCCTGGACCTGTCTACTCTGCTTTACCCCGGATCTGACCTCGGCCTGGTTTACAGATTCTCTCTCTCTCTCGATCCTCTGTGTATGACCTCGGCTATCCCATCTGACGACGTCTGCTCTGATTCCCACCTGGTACCTGACCTTGGCTTGAACCGACTACCCAGTAAACATCTAAATCCCGGAAGGGCTTGCATACCACGCACAGGCGCCTCCTCTCTGCAGACCTATCTCCGTGCTCCAGCTGTGCTTCTGAGTGGACCACCAACCAGCACTCCTACAGGCGACCTGTGCCACTTTGGGCCTGACTCCCGTTGTCCCACTCTCAAGGGAGTCCGGAATTTAGCTGCAAGGGAAACCCTCTCTCTCCATTGTGGCCTCCATCACCAGGTACGTGATACCAAGCTGGAGGGCCGCCAGTTTGACACCCCCCTGGCCTAGACCTTCGGTCATGTGATTAGTTCATAGATGGGGAGGACTAGGGACCAGACCGGCTTATTTTCCCTTTTATAAGAGATGGGGGGGGGGGGGGGGGGTGGCTGCGGGTTAATTTGGCGATACAAAAAAAATGCATTAAACTATAGAAAAAATCCTCAAGAAAATTCTGTATGGCTTTCCGGTGAGACAAGTTGTACAAGAGATTTCAAAGCGAACATTTCCTGTCATTCTGGTGGATCTGCTTCATAATATATCCTTGTCAGGAGCCGTAATAAGCTTTGTCATACTTAACCCAATTACCGCGACATTTTTACAGTAATTTCTATAAATGGCCTGAAATGGCGTGGAGTGAAATTGTTTGTGAAAGACATATAGAGCCCGGTAATTAGATTGCCGCTTATCTGGCCCCATGTTGGATATTGCTGGGGTAAGGATTCACAAGATCCATATTTAATGACTTGACACAGTTCCAACCCGAAAACGACGTCATCCCGTGAAAGAGTTCAGAGCCGGGATATTGTTCCCGGGGTAGTTCGTGTGGTATCAAATGAGAAGGAGAAGGCTGAAAAATAGTTATATATGAATACTATACTTTTATTTTTACATTGTAAAAATATACATTGTTACTGATATATTTTATTTTTTAATGATTATTGATATATTTTAATTTTATAAAACAGACGTACAAGATTTTTAATGATTATTGATATATTTTATTATTTTTTAATGAATATATATATAACTATATAAACGATATATAATATATATATAAAAATATAACATAACATACATATACACTATATATTTTAAATTTTTTATATAACTTAATGTTTTCATGAATTTACATATATTATCATACATACATATTATATTTATTTTTTTCATGAATTTATATATATGGATTCAGGTGTCCCAATCCCCTCCAGGGCACCACAGGTGTATAAATTCGAAGCCCCTAGGCATGCAGCTTCTACAAACATTTGTATTTGTATAGCTAAATAAATTAAAAATAAAAAAATGTATTTATTATAGGTACTTATATAGCACCGTCAATTTACGCAACACTTTACATATTTATTGTACATTCACATCAGTCCCCCGCCCCCGAGGAGCGTACAATCTAAGGTCCCTAACTTGCATTCATACATACACATACTAGGGACAATTTAGACAGGAGACAATTCACCTACCAGCATGTCTTTGGAGTGTGGGAGGAAACTGGAGTACCCAGAGGAAACCCACGCAAGCACAGGGAGAACATGCAAACTCCATGCAGGAGGTGCCATGGTCGGGAATCAAACCCATAACCCATTTACTGCAAAGCAGATGTGCCACCAATAAAGGTAAATTTGAAATGAAAACTGGCAATAGAGAAGCTAATTAATAGACCTTAGCTTGTAACATGATGCCAACAAAGATGGATGTAAATGTATATACACTATAGTGCTAAAAGTATTGGCCCCCGCCCTCCAAATCATGTGATTCAGGTGTTCCAATCCCCTCCATATCATGTGATTCAGGTGTTCCAATCCCCTCCCAATCATGTGATTCAGGTGTTCCAATCCCCTCCCAATCATGTGATTCAGGTGTCCCAATCCCCATGTCCCAATCATGTGATTCAGGTGTTCCAATCCCCTCCCAATCATGTGATTCAGCTGTTCCAATCCCCTCCATATCATGTGATTCAGGTGTTCCAATCCCCTCCATGGACACAGGTGTATACAATCATGCCCCTAGGCATGCAGACGGCTTCTACAAACATTGGTGAAAGAATGGGTCGCTCTCAGGAGCTCAGTGACTCCAAGCGTGGTCCCGTGATAGGTGGCCACCTGGGCAATAAGTCCATCCATGACATTTCCTGGCTACTAAATATTCCACGCTCAACTGTTAGTGGGATTATAACAAAGTGGAAGCCACTGGGAACAACAGCCACTCAGCCACCAAGTGGTAGGCCACGTCACATGACAGGGCGGGGTCAGAGTTTGGGGATGGCCCCTTCCTGTTCCAACATGACTGCGCACCAGTGCACAAAGCAAGGTCCATAAAGACATGGAGGAGCCAGTTTGGGGTGGAGGAACTTGACTGTCCTGCACAGAGTCCTGACAACCCCATAGAAACACCTTTGGGATGAATTAGAGCGCAGACTGCGAGCCAGGCCTCCTCCCCCGACATCAGTGCCTGACCTGACAAATGTGCTTCTGGAAGAATGGTCCAACCTTCCCATAGACACCCTCCTAAACCTTGTGGGTGGCCTTCCCAGAAGAGTTGAAGCTGTTATAGCTGCAAAGGCCAACTCAATATTGAACCCTACGGACTAAGACTGGGGGGTCATTAAAGGTCATGTGCGAGGAAAGGGTGGGGCCAACTCAATATTGAACCCCACAGACTAAGACTGGGAGGCCATTAAAGGTCATGTGCATGGGAAGGCCGATACTTGGGGCAATGTAGTATATATATTATATACTGTAGTAAGTCCAGTTTGAAGAACTGGGAGCCAGTCAGAGAAGTCCCTGCTCATATGGTCCCTGTGTCAGCGATGACATAGTGATCATGTGCAGACTGGAGGCTTTATTTAAAAAAAAAAAAGTTTTCAGCCTGCAGGTGGCAGTGTACATGTGTTTAGTATTGAAATTGTCAGATACAATTACAGTATCATAAAGAAAAATAATGAAGAGCTTGCCTTTTTGCAATTTTGTTATAAAATTTTCATATTAGTAAATCAACCCCACTACAAAGAGCTAAATAAGTGGGTCTACGCTTAAATCAATAAAGACCGAAGATGTGTAACATAGGCCCAATGACTGTCTTTTTAACCACTTCCTGTCCGGATGTTGTATATAAACGGGTACCGGACGGTGGCAGTGCAGGGTCGGGTGGCAGTTTATAAACAGCCTCCCCGCCCCCTGCTTGTGCGCGCTCCCTGGGAGCATGTAGCATCGTGATCCGGTGCCCGCTGTGTCCTCCGGACACAGTGGGACACCATTTGTTGTTCTGGACCTCTGTGCGAGGTCCTGATCATGTGATCACTGATTGGCCAATGAGTGATCACATGCAGAGTAGTAAGCAAGATGTCACTTCTGACATCATTGCTTACTACGTGTGAAATCTGTGAATGATCACAGAGATCACATGGTACATGGCCATTCACAACAGCCTTGTACCATGTGACAAGCTGTGACCAATCACAGCTCACACAGTATTTCTCAATGGCTGCAGGAATGCAGCCAGAGGGAAGGATAAATGATTGATTTTACAACCTTTATGGGTGTAAAAGCAATCAGTGTAAAAAAAAAAAATTCATCACACCCCAGAAGTAGTACAGTGTCACCATGGTGACTGTACTGCTAGGGTGACAGTATGTAAAAAAAACCATAAATAATAATATAAAAAAATTAAATAAAAAATACATTTTTTTTTTAAATTATAATTTTTAGTTATAAACTAATTTGGGTTATTTTCTTTTACTAAAAAGATACTGAATAAATTTTGGCCAAGATTTATGATGAAAGATTATTTATTTGCAAAATTTTATAAGAAAAACACTTTTTATCAAAATTTTTGGACTTTCATTTATATAGCAGAAAAAATTAAAATCCCAGCGGTGGATAAATACCACTAACATAAAGCTTTTTCTGTCTCAAAAAAATGCTAAAAAATTTCATATGGGTACAGTGTTGCATGACCGCGCAATTGTCATTCAAAGTGTGATAGCGCTGAAAGCTGAAAATTGGCTTGGGGGGGAAGGGGGGAAAGTGTCCGGACTGGAAGGGGGTGAAAAGTGTCCGGACTGGAAGGGGGGGAAAGTGTCCGGACTGGAAGGGGGGGAAAGTGTCCGGACTGGAAGGGGGGGAAAGTGTCCGGACTGGAAGGGGGGGAAAGTGTCCGGACTGGAAGGGGGGGAAAGTGTCCGGACTGGAAGGGAGTAAAAGTGTCCGGACTGGGGGGGGGAAAAGTGTCCGGACTGGAAGGGGGGAAAGTGTCCGGACTGGGGGGGGGGGAAGTGTCCGGACTGGAAGGGGGGGGGGGGGGGGGGGGGGTTTTAGTGTCCGGACTGGAAGGGGGGGAAAGTGTCCGGACTGGAAGGGGGGGGAAAGTGTCCGGACTGGAAGGGGGGGGAAGGGGGAGGGGGGAAGTGTCCGGACTGGAAGGGGGGAAAGTGTCTGGACTGGAAGGGGGTGAAAATGTCCGGACTGGAAGGGGGGGGGGAAAGTGTCCGGACTGGAAGGGGGGGGGGAAAGTGTCCGGACTGGAAGGGGGTGAAAATGTCCGGACTGGAAGGGGGGGGGAAAGTGTCCGAACTGGAAGGGGGTAAAAGTGTCCGGACTGGAAGGGGGGAAAGTGTCCGGACTGGAAGGGGGGAGAAAGTGTCCGGACTGGAAGGGGGGGGAAGTGTCCGGACTGGAGAGGGGGGGGGGGAAGTGTCCGCGACTGGAAGGGGGGGAAAGTGTCTGGACTGGAAGGGGGGGGGAAGTGTCCGGCTGGAAGGGGGGGGGAAAGTGTCCGGACTGGAAGGGGGGAAAGTGTCCAGACTGGAAGGGGGGAAAGTGTCCGCACTGGAAGGGGGGGGGAAGTGTCCGGACTGGAAGGGGGGAAAGTGTCCCGGACTGGAAGGGGGGGAAAGTGTCCGGACTGGAAGGGGGGGAGAAAGTGTCCGGACTGGAAAGGGGGGGGGGGGGGTTGAAGTGTCCGGACTGGAAGGGGGGGGAAAGTGTCCGGACTGGAAGGGGGGGGGAAAGTGTCCGGACTGGAAGGGGGGGAAAGTGTCCGGACTGGAAGGGGGGGAAAGTGTCCGGACTGGAAGGGGGGGAAAGTGTCCGGACTGGAAGGGGGGAAAGTGTCCGACTGGAAGGAGGGGAAAGTGTCCGGACTGGAAGGGGGGGAAAGTGTCCGGACTGGAAGGGGGGGAAAGTGTCCGGACTGGAAGGGGGGGAAAGTGTCCGGACTGGAAGGGGGGGAAAAGTGTCCGGAAACTGGAAGGGGGGGAAAGTGTCCGGACTGGAAGGGGGGGAAAGTGTCCGGACTGGAAGGGGGTGGTGAAAGTGTCCGGACTGGAAGGGGGTGAAAGTGTCCGGACTGGAAGGGGGGAAAGTGTCCGGACTGGAAGGGGGGGAAAGTGTCCGGACTGGAAGGGGGGGAAAGTGTCCTGACTGGAAGGGGGGGGGAAAGTGTCCGGACTGGAAGGGGGTGAAAGTGTCCGGATGGAAGGGGGGTGAAAGTGTCCGGACTGGAAGATGGGGAAAGCGTCCGGACTGGAAGGGGGGGAAAGTGTGCGGACTGGAAGGGGGGGAAAGTGTCCGGACTGGAAGGGGGGGGGAAAGCATCCGGACTGGATGGGGTTATTAAAAAAATAAATAAAAAAAAACACGTTTTATAGCTTTAGAAATAAAAAAATGATTATTTTAAGTCCTCTTTGTTAAAAATAAAAAAAAAAAAAAAAAAACAAAACCCAATCTTTTGCGGAAGTCATTTTTAGGATTTGACATGGTTACCCTTTCTACCCAATCAAGGCAATGCGCGCTATTTACAGTCAATATAATTTATAGGTCAGATCCATTTATTTTCCTCGGCGACAGGAGCCGCTCCTCCCCCCCCCCCCCCCCCCCACCGTTGCTTCTGAAAAGATTTCTTTTAACCCAAGCAATTTTCATTTGATTTTAGTAATGAGGGTTTAATTAATTTCAATTAAAATCTTCAAGGAAATAAGAGAGATGAAAGTTGCGTCTAATTACCAAACATATTTGATGTTACCCCAAGCCATTCAATATTCTTCTACAGTCATGTTGTGGAGTCGCTGAGAAGACTGTAAATGAAGACGCCCAAGAAGTGGGAGAGCGCGCCTCCTCCGCACCACGAAAAAGAGCGCAAAACCAACAGGTGTGTCCGATATTTTTATACGAAAGAAGAAATTATATTCTAAGATATAACGCGCTGTCAGATGTGTTTAATGTCACAAGCCTTTGCCGGTCATGTTCCGGTGAAGGAGATGGAGACTCTATAATGAGCTCCCACCACCAATGGATTCCATGAGGGCCTCTTCATCTTACACGGTGCATGCGTTGTGCCGCTATTCATTTTAATTGGCCCCCCAGGGGCGGACTGACAACTTATGGGGCAATAGGGGATCATGGGGCACCTGTGTCCTCGCCCAAACTCAAACCACACCCAAAAAAGCCTATGAAAGGTTCCAAGGGGCATCTCATAGGGCCCCGAGTTCCCAAATGGTCAGTCTGCCCCTGGGCACCCCAATGCCCTAGGCAACACAAAAATCGTCTGCCCCTTCAGACACCACCAACACCACCACCACTCCCTTCCCCCTCCTGCGGAGAGAGCCTGACATTGACCAACAACAACACACCTGCCCCCCACTCGAGAGAGCCATCCATTATCCCTACCCCGGCGATAGAGAGAAAAAGACACTCATCTTCAAAGCTCCGGACATCCCCGGGAACGAGAGTCAAGCTCTACATACACCATGAAGCAGCCTGCAGCCTCTCTTGGATCCCACCTGGTTCCCATGGCGCGCATCCCTTCTTTCATCCCTTTTTCTGAGGGGAGGTGCTGCCCCCCTGAAAAATGCCGCCCTAGGCAAGTGCCTTGTTTGCCTTTTGGTAAATACGCCCCTGCCAGGCGGTACATATGTACTGCAGCATGCCGTAATGTACAAGACTGTGTCATGCTGCCAAAAGTGGTGCATGCCTGATTTTTGACAGGCTAGGGTGGGGTGCAGCCCCTTTAGCCTCATTTGCATCTGCATTTCTCTCGATCACTTCCAGGTACCACCTCCTGTAGAACTGATTTTTTTTTTTGTTAGCTATAGGCTGGGTAGCCTGGGATGAGTCAGCCTGGGAGTGAGGTAGAGGCTGGGAGACTCTAACAGGTCAGGGCTTCTGGAGCCCTTTTAAAAAAAACTGGACGGCCCGACGGGCTTACCCTTCCAGAA